CTTGCATTCCTGGGACACACCTCAACTGGTCATGATGTATTATCTCTTTATATATTGTTGAATTAGATTTTCTAAAATAGTAAGAATTTTTTACTTCTGTGTTGATGGGAGATAATTACTCTATAGTCTTGTAATTTTTTTCTGTCTTTTTTTTTCATGGTGATGGTGGTCTTATTGAATGAAATGCAAACTATTCATTTCTTTTCAGTTTTCTGGAAGATTTGAATTAATTATTATGATTTTTCCTTAACTGACAGAATTCCCCAGTGAAGCTATTTGGGCCTGGAACTTCCTTTGTGGGAAGGTTTTTAACTATAAGTTAAATTAAAATAATAGATATAGGGGTCTTAAGATCAATTTCTTTCTAAGTTAGCTTTGGTAGTTTGTGTTTTTGAAGGAATTGATCCATTTCATCTAAAATGTAAAATTTAAGATTTTCTTTTCCATTGGTTATAAGAAATTTGATTAGAATATGCCTTGGAGTAAGTTTCCTTTGTGTTTACTGTGTGTGTGGTTTTTTAAACTTCTTGGATTTGTTGGTTTACAGTTGTCATCAAATTTGGGAAATGTTGGCCATTCTTTTTTCTTTATTTTTTTATTGTCTACCTACCATGCCTCCCTCTTTTCAGAGACTCCAGTTTTACGTATATTAGGCCAGTTGAGTTATCCTATACCTCATTGATGCTCTGTGCATTTTTTATCTTGGTTTTCTTGGTTTCTATTGATACATCAAGTTCACAAGTCTTTATTTCATTGTTATATTATCTAATCTGCTGTTAGTCTCCTCTAGTGTATTTTTCATGGAAGACACTATAGTGTCATTGTCTAGAAGTTCAGTGTAAGTCTTTTTAAAAAATACATTCCATGTTTCTTTGTAAGGATCTCAAATTTCCTTTGGCTTCTTAAACACATGGAATATAGTTATAATAAGTACTTCAATATCCTTGTCTGTCAATGCTGTCACTCATGTTTTAAGAGTTAGTTTTTATTAGTGTTTTTCCTAATTAAGTTTCACATATCCTGCATCTTTGCTGCCTGGCAATTTTTAATTATAAATTGTACCTGGCTAAGTGGTGGATATTTTTGTATTTTTATAACTGATCTTGTGCTTTTTTCTAGAATGTGGTAAAGTTACTTAGAAACAGTTTGATCTTTTCGAGTATTGCCTTTAATCATTGTTAGGAAGGGTCAGAGTGGCTCTTAGTCTAGGACTACTTTTTCTCTAATGAGATAAAACCCACCGAGTACTTTGCTCAATGCCTATGAAGTAAAAGATTTTCTACTTTGAAGGATGGGAATAGGCACTGTACTCTATGCTCCACGAGCCCTCCATATTGCTCCTCTAATCCTCTCAGGTGATTCTTTCCCATCTCCGGGGACTTTCCTCACATGAGTGCCCTGATCAGAACCCAGCTGAATACAGGAGACAGATTCTTCTGCAGAACACACTCTGAAGTTCTTTTTCTGCACAGGTCTGTCTTCTCTTGTACTCTGGTCTGCGAGGTCTAGCTACTATTGAACTCCCAGCTTTAGCTCTCCAATTAAGGGGCACTTTTGGGCTGTGCTAGGTTTTACCTGTCTGCATAGTGGCCTGGAAACTCTCCAGGAAGGAACTTGGGGCAATTGTAGGACTCGGTTTATTTATTTCCATTCTCTCAGGTATCACTGTTCTTCATTGCCTAATGTCCAGTGTTTTGAAACCATTGTTGTATTTATTCTTTTTTTTTCAGTTCCTCTAATTCTGTCTTGACCCCAATCACAAGTGCCAAGACTATATGTGAAAGGATCAAGTTTATTTTATTTTATTTACTTATTTATTTTTTAAATATACATTTATTCTAAATTTACATCCAAATTAGTTAGCATATAGTGCAATAATCTTTTTAGAGGTAGTTTCATCCTCTACATATAACACCCACTGCTCATCCCAACAAGTGTCTTTCCTAATGCCCCTTGCCCACTTATCCCATCCCCCCACCCACAACCCCTCCAGCAACCCTAAGTTCTCTATAGTTAAGAGTCTCTTATGTTTTGTTCCCTTCTCTATTTTTATTTTATATTATTTTTGCTTCCCTTCTTTATGTTCATCTGTTTTGTATCTTAAATTTTAGATATGCATGGTCATATGATATTTGTCTTTCTCTAGCTAATTTCATTTATCATAATACACTCTAGTTCCACCCAAGTTGTTGCAGATGGCAAGATTTCATTCTTTTTGATTGCCGAGTAATACTCCATTGTATATACATACCATATCTTCTTTATTTTTTAATGTTTATTTATTTTTGAGAGAGAGAGAGAGAGAGAGAAACATAGTGTGAGCAGGGGAAGGACAGAGAGGGAGACACAGAATCTGAAACAGGCTCCAGGCTCTGAGCTGTCAGCACAGAGCCCAATGGCACGATGTGGGGCTTGAACTCATGAACTGCAAGATCATGACCTGAGCTGGAGTCAGATGCTTAACTTATTGAGACACCCCAATGCCCCTCTTCTTTATCCATTCATCTGTCGATGGACCTGTGGGCTCTTTCCATACTTTGACTATTGTAGATAGCACTCCTGTAAACATTGGGGTGCCTGTGCACTTCTGTATCCTTTGGTTAAATACCTAGTAGTGCAATTGCTGGGTTGAAGGGTAATTCTATTTTTAAGTTTTTGAGTAAACTCCGTACTATTTTCTGGAGTGGCTGCACCAGTTTGCCCTCTAACAGTGCATAAGGGTTCCTCTTTCTCTGCATCTTCACCAACATCTGTTGTTGCCTGACTTGTTAATTTTAACCGTTCAGACAGGTGTGACGTGGTATCTCGTGGGTTTTTAAAAATTTTTTTTTATGTCTTTATTTTATTTTGAGAGATGTGAGACCGAGAATGAGCGGGGGAGGGGCAGAGAGAGAGGGAGACACAGAATCTGAAGCAGACTCCAGGCTCTGAGTTGTTAGCACAGAGCCCAAAGCGGGGCTCCAACCCATGGACTGTGAGATCATGACCTGAGCCAAAGTCAGATGCTTAACTGACTGAGCCACCCAGGTGCCTCTCATGGTGGTTTTGATTTGTATTTCCCTGATGACGAGTGATGTTTAGCCTTTTTCCATATGTGATTTGGGCATCTGGATGTCTTCTTTGGAGAAGTGTCTGTTCATGTCTTTTTCCCATTTTTTTCACTGGATTATATGTTTTTTGAGTGTTGAGTTTGGTAAGTTATTTATAGATTTTGTATACTAACCCTTTATTTGATATGTCATTTGCAAATATCTTCTCCCATTCTGTCGGTTGCCTTTTACTTTTGCTGATTGTTTCTGTTTCCTTCACTGTGCATAAGCTTTTTATCTTGATGAGGTCCCAGTAGTACATTTTTGCTTTTGTTTCCCTTGCCTCCAGAGACGTGTCAAGTAAGAAGTTGCTGCAGCCAAAGTCTAAGGATTGTTGCCTGTTTTCTCCTCTAAGATTTTGATGGCTTCCTGTCATATGTTTAGGTCTTTCCTAAATCCATTTTGAGTTTATTTTTGTGTATGTTATAAGAAAGTGGTCCAGGTTCATTCTTCTCCATATCACTGTCCAGTTCTCCCAGCACCATTTTCTGACAAGACTGTCTTTACTCCATTGGATATTCTTTCATGCTTTGTCAAAGGTAAGTTGGCCATATGTTTGTGGGTCCATTTCTGGGATCTCTGTCCTGTTCCATTGATCTGATTGTGTTTGTGCCATTACCATACTGTCTTGATGACTATAGCTTTGTAAGACAGCTTTAAGTCCCACTTTGGTTTTCTTTTTCATAATTGCTTTTGCTATCTGGGGTCTTTTCTGCTTCCATACAAATTTTAGGATCGTTTGTTCTAGCTCTGTGAAGAATGCTGGTGTTTTATTTTGATAGGGATTGTTTTGAATGTGTAGATTGTGTAGTATTGACAGTTTACCAATATTTGTTCTTCCAAACTATGAGCATGGAATGTTTTTCCATTCTTTTGTGTGTGGTCTTCAGTTTCTTTCATAAGCTTTCTATAGTTTTCGTTGTATAGATTTTTTATGTCTTTGGTTATGTTTATTCCTGGGTATTTTATGTCTTTTGGTGCAGTTGTAAATGGGATCGTTTCTTTGATTTCTCTTTCTGCTGCTTCATTATTGGGATATAGAAATGTGAATGATTTCTCTACATTGATTTTATATCCTACAACTTTGCTGAATTCATGTATCAGTTCTAGCCATTTTTTGGTGGAATCTTGGGTTTTCCACATAGAGTACCATGTTGTCTGTGAAGAGCGAAAATTTGACTTCCTCCTTGCCAATTTGGATGCCTTTTATTTCTTTGTGTTGCCTGATTGCTGAGGTAGAACTTCCAACACCATGTTGAATAAGAGTGGCGAGAATGGACATCCTTGTCATGTTCCTGACCTTAGGGGGAAACCTCTCAGTTTTTCCCCATTGAGGACAATATTAGTGGTGGGTTTTTTGTATATGGCACTTATGATCTTGAGGTACAGTCCTTCTATCCCTACTTTCCTAAGGGTTTGTATCAAGAAGGATGCTGTAGTTTGTCAAATGCTTTTTCTGCATCAAATTTGTATTTTAAAAAATACATTTTAAAACTTAGATCTTATTCTTCCATTAAATGCTTTTCCTCCTAGTTAGTACTAATTGCTAAAATTTACTGGCATACTGGTTATTTTTGTTTTGTTTATTCCATTTCTTAATCCCTAATAATTTAGCTGTTAAAATAAAAACAGACTTCCCCCAACTAAAACTAAAATATGAAAAGAAGAAAAAAATCCAAGTTTCTAAAAGGTATATTGTAGAGTAAAAAAAGAGTGAGCAAAGCCTTTTTTTTTTTTTTTTTTTAAACTTCTTTGGTTTGTATTGCTGAGAGGCACTGCTGTAAGGGCTGGTGAGTAGAAACCCAAGGTTAATTCAGTCTGAGGTGTGTCAAGGGAAGAACAACTGAACAGCAACAGTTTTGTGAGTAAGTGTTTTCCGGAGATATTTATAACTTATTTTTTGTGTTCCAGATAATTCAGGAGAAGAAAGATGAGCTTCATCTATGGACTGCAATCTGCTACTAGAAACTGCGTTTTCTTCCGATTTCACTTGCTGACCAGCTGGAGACTGTGTAACACACTAGCTGTAACCTCACCAGACTGTCATCAAGTACAAATTATTCATACAGTTAATAAGTATCAGGGTCTGGGAGTACATCAGTGTGATAGGTTGACTTTTCTGCCTAAAAATTTTTATTCTTATAGGACTCTTAATACCAAAAGACCAGAATGCCTCTTGAATGTGAGCCGTAAAGAAATTTGGATGGTTACCCCAAAATGGACTGCATGGAATGACTCTCTTTCAAGACAGCTTCTGAGAAAAGAAGCTGTAGGAGCTCCTGCTCTCTCAGTATTACGTCCTCTAAGGTGTCTTCCCACAGGAGAAGGAGACATCAGAAGTTTTCACACTTCCCCTCGGTTTCAAGCTGCTCCGGTTCCTCTCTTGTTGATTATTCTTAAACCAGTGCAGAAACTATTTGCAATCATTGTAGGCAGGTAAAAAGCTTTTTTAAAAAAATAAACTTAAAAGGTAGTTGTAAAACTGTACTTTTAAAGAAAACCTGTTAGATTTCCCTCCCATGTTTACCTCAAAATTAAGTTTCCAAATGGTTGTTTTTACCCAGTTTTGTTAGAAATGATTTAATAATCTTGAAATAATTTACTACATATTATTGTATAACAATGTGATCTTTAAAAAATTATATAGGATACTTTTAAAACAATTTTCTATTTATGGTTACAAGAATGAGAGATGTTGCTTATAGTTTGTGTATAAGAACAGTACTTAAAAACGTAACTTTTTATTTTATGAAATCTGAGGCAATGGGTCATGAAACTGAAGGAGTTCAATTATTTAAGAATGGGCTCATTCCTAGCCAAATTAATACTTAATTAGTATTTACTTATTTTTCTCTATTTCCAACACATTTTTGTTATTTTCTTTTGGGTAGTTCTTCATAATAATTATGTTTTCATAGCTAAATAATACTCTGTATTTAATTTAAGCCTACCCCTGTAATTAATCTTGTTTTATTTGCTCCATGAAGATTGAAGAAAGGTAAAGTTAAGCATTGTCTTGTCATTCTTATGTTTGCTGACTGTGAAGGCCTTTCTAGCTCTTACTCCCTCTTACTCCTATACTAACCAACCCAGTTTTCTGTGATTTGACACTTGCACCCAGAAAATACACAGTTGTGTTAGCTCTTTATGTAGGTAATGACAATCATAGAAAACCAGAGCTAGACAACAATTAAAGCAGTAAACACAGATTTTATTCAGGACTTTTGCAGTAAGGGAAGAGAGAACTAAGTATACAACCAGAGTTAATTCTGAATACAGCATGGGCAAATGGGAATTTATAGCTAAGGATCAGGCTGGGGTTTGTTGGATGAAAAATTACGAAGAGGAAGCATCAGGAGGAAGTGGGGATTCTCCCTGTCCTGACCCTACTAGGCTTCTTGTTTAAGGCCAGGTGAGGGTGATCAGGCATCATCGGGGGGCTAGTGAATGATGAGGAACCCAATCAGGTATTGAGGGTGATCAGTTATGGAGGTGGGGGGAAATTCTATCTAACCTGACTTAGCAGGATTCTGGCTAAACCTGGACAACGCGGAGATGAATACAGAAGTAGAGGTAAGGCCTAGCTGAAGAAAGTTCAGGGGAGCCTGAGTAGAGTTTGGTGCAAGAGAGGATCTTTGTCACAACTCAGACCAGGGTCTTAACCAATTGTTCTTTTTCATTCTTTTTAATCATTCTTTTTAACTTTCTGTTGTTTCTATTGTAATCACTTAACATTTTCTTTTAAGCTGTGTTTTTGCCATATATTGAAAGCAAATGATAAGTCATTTAAAGTTTTAAATAGGAAATATGTATACTTTGTAGTCTGGCCTGAGTTTTTTCAGGTTGGAACAATTTGAGGCATTTTACATGTATGACTTAATAAAATTAAAATAACTTGAAATTATTTTGTAAGACGAGTTTTGTCAAGAGAATGATGTATATATCTTAGATTTTTGTTGTGATTTCACAGATGAGCTCACGAGGAAAAATTTTGTCTCATTATTGAAAACATTGCTTGTCAAAAACGTTGCCTGGTAGAAGTGGACCTCCATGTGCCGACTACACAGTCTCTCATTTTCTTATTTACAGTGGTTATGCCCCCATTACCTTTCCTTTCTTACGTTCTTGAGGGGGTAGTGGAGTTTCTGCTAGTGAGCGATGTTTATTTTTTTAATGTTTTAATTATTTGTTTTTGAGAGAGACAGAGACAGAGCATGAGTGGGGGAGGGCCATAGAGAGAGGGAGACACAGAATCCAAAGCAGGTTCCAGGCTCTGAGCCATCAGCACAGAGCCCAATGTGGGGCTCAGACTCATAAACTGCGAGATCATGAGCTGAGCCAAAGTTATACGCTTAACCGACTGGGCCACCCAGGTGCCCCAGCAATTCTTATTTCTAAAAGCAATGGTGAGGTAGTTTTCCATGTACCTTGCTGAAGTACTAACAGATTATGCTGGAAGTCTGATGAGCAGGGTGGGTGAATCGTGGTTACAGGTATAGATGACTTGTGCCATAACCACTTGGGTGTAGATTTGGGCAGACCATCCCTGTCAAGCGGTTACGTGCTAATACTCTGGGATCACATGGTCTTCCTTGCCTGGTTTTCCCTTATTACCTCTGCAGCCTTGGACAAGTTGCTTACCTTCTCTCTGTCTCAATTTTCTCTTCGGTAACAGGGTTTTTGTGAAAATTAAGTGAGATGACGTATGTATAACAATCAGAACAGTAGTTTGCATGTGGTAAACAGTCAATACGTGTTAACTAGTGGTAGTTGTAAAATAGCTACTCATTTAGTGTTCACCTTTAAAATAAGAAGAAACTTAAAATGAGCATTAGAATTTTTATAACTGCTTTTTCATCACTTAGCTAAGAATTTTATAAATGGAAAAAACCTATCTATACAGAGAAATATATCACAAAAATTCAAGTATATGATGACATAAAATTCTAGCATAAGATTAAGTTTTGGTGATATGTGCTGATACTATTGTCAGAACTTTGAATTTTTCTTTTTGCTCTAGGGGCATAAGGAAATGGTGGCAGGCACTTCCTCTTAACAAGAAGGAACTATTTAAAGAAAGTTTAAGAAAGAATAAATGGAAGTTACTCCTTTGTTTCAGTAGTTTTGGATTGCTCTTTGTAGTGTTTTATTTTACTCACCTGGAAGTGAGTCCTATCACAGGAAGGAGCAAGCTACTATTATTGGGGAAAGAACATTTCAGACTTTTATCAGAACTGGAATATGAAGCAGTAAGTAGTGAGAATTGTTTATACCTAGATTGCTTAATATACTCAAAGCAGCAAAGTTTCTTAAGTATGAAAGATACACTACTTTTTCATGTTAGTCTCTGATAGAAAATTAGCATTTTCCCAAAAGGCCTCCAAACTTTCATACTTAGTGTTCCTACTACCTCCATTGCATATCCTTTCATTCATCCAGCTAATTCCTGCTAATCACATGTCACCTTAAACGTCACTTTCTCAGGAAAGTCTTCCTTGATTATCTGGACTGGGTGAGGCAGGTTGGCTACATTATGCTCTAAAGGGTGTCCTGCATACAGACTGAGTTATGACCAGCTCATTTGTAATTGTGTCCAGTGCCTGGCTGTACTGGGGTCAGGTCTCCTGCTTTCATTTTCTCTTCGCATAGTGTGCTTTTTCTTTAAATCACTTATCATGAGGGTAACATAATTATTTGCATAATTACTTCTTTACTGATCTGTCTCCTTTGTTAGACTAAGCTCTATGGGAACAGAGACCCTGTCTGTTTTTATCATATTATCTTAGGTACTAGCACAATGTACAAGGTAGTGTTAGTATATGTTTTTCGGATAAGTACATATGTAATACGAATGTTTGTACCTTGAAAGTAATGTAGAATAAGGTAGTTTTTCCCCAAACCTCATTTTTGGCAATTATATGTATATATATATTTGGCAATTATATATATATTTTTTTCATGTTTTTTAAATTTACTTTTGAGAGAAAGAGAGAGAGACAGTATGAGCAGGGGAGGGTCAAAGAGAGAGGGAGACACAGAATCCGAAGCAGGCTGTAGGTTCTAAGCTGTCTGCACAGAGCCCGACACAGGGCTCGAACTCACGAACCATGAGATCATGACCTGAGCCGAATTCGGACGCTTAACCAACTGAGCCACCCAGGTACCTGGCAATTATATTTTTTTAATGTGAAATCAAATTGGAATTCAGAAGCCTTAACTCTTTTTTTTTTTTTAATGTTTTTTATTTTTTTCAAGAGAGAGAGTGCAAGCAGGGGAGGGGCAGAGAGAGAGGGAGAGAGAGAGAATCCCTAGCAGGCTCTGTGCTGCTAGCAGCACAAAGCCCATTACGATGCTCAAACTCAGGAACCATGAGATCATGACCTGAGCTGAAATCAAGAGTTGGACATTTAACCAGCTGAGCCACCCAGGAGCCCCAAGAAGCTTTAATTCTTTAGAAACAACAATAACTCAGATAGTTAAGCATTTTACATGACTAGTGAGTTTCTTGAGGACAGACCCTCTTTCTCCAATTGTGAACACACACTTAGTATATACTCAGTATTTATTGAATTCATGTCTCATGGTCTCATTTGACTGCTTTGGTGAAATCTTTATATCGTTTAATTGCATTTAAGCTTCTGAGTTTGTCAGTGAAAAGTTACCATTTAAAAAAGAAATAACAATGATTTTTCACTAAAAAGATGCATTTCTTCTAGTAGAGCTTTTACAGAGATTGGAGATGTTTCTTGGGATAGTCTTGTCTGAAGCAGGTTTGAGGAAAATGTTCTGGAAAGTTTGAGACAGGCCTACTGGTAAATTAGTGTATCTTCCACCATTCATTTCTCTTAGAAACTTTAAAGAATGATGTGCACGTACATAATATTCTTTTAATTTTGTAGCCTACAAACATAATAACCTGCTTGATACTAGCATTCAAGCACATGTTCCTATAGGGATATGGTAAAGTACTATAATTATATATAAGAAGTTTAACTTTAAAAAATTTTTTAAAAATATTTATTTATTTTTGAGAGAGAGAGAGTGAGACAGTGTGAGCAGGAGAGGGACAAGGAGAGAAGGAGACAGAATCCGAGGCAGGCAGCAGGTTCTGGGCAAGAGCTCAGCACAGAGCCCCATGTGGGACTTGAACCCATGGACCTGGCTGAGATCATGACCTGAGCTGAAATCGGACACTTAGCCGACTGAGCCACCCAGGCGCCCTAGAAGTTTAACTTTTTTATTAACTATAAGGTGTTTTTCTATTTAGTGGGTTATGAAAGTAATTTTCTTTTCTGTTGTTCTTCCTTATGTGAACTCTTTGTTTCCTAGACCCTGTTTGGTTTCCTAAAATGTTTAGGAAAGTAGGAATAATATTTAAGGATTTTATTTGTTTATAAGCTAATAGAAAAGATGAAAGTTTTATTTCAACCAATTTGTATGAAAAATCTTAGTTATTAGAATTTATTCCATTTGTGAGAAAGCACATTGCCTTTGCATGAATAATTCAAATTTAAGAATTTGAGTGTTGAGTATATGTATATTTTTACATAATTAAAAATTAAAATGTTCAACAATGGGTAGTCATTTAACTCTTCATGAAGCAATATAAACATTTTTAGAGCTAAGACTCTCTTAAAATAAAGATGACTTTTAAATCTTTCAGTGGATGGAAGAGTTTAAAAATGATATGCTAACTGAGAAGGATGCTCGATACCTAATGGTTAAAGAAGTGGTTTATCATTTGATTGAATGCAATAAAGATATTCCAGGGATCTCTGAGATCAATTGGACTATTCATGTGGTTGATTCCCCAGATATAAATGCCTTTGTGCTTCCAGTAAGTAACTGTTCTTACATCTAATTTTTAATTGTTAAGATTAATATCCTTGTTTTTATAAAATGTTCCAGATGATTGCTAACATCATTTTCTTTCTGGTGCAGAATGGACAAGTGTTTATCTTCACTGGGCTTTTAAATAGTGTGACTGATGCTCATCAACTTTCCTTCCTTCTGGGCCATGAAATAGCACATGCGGTACTTGGGCATGCTGTAAGTACCTACAATGAATGTTCAGTTGTTGAAATACTGCTTGGAAGTTAGCAAGTTAAATCTTGTAAAACTGAATCTTTTTACAGTTTCATTTTCTTTAGAAGTAGAATTTTAATTTTTAGCAACTGACGTATTCTGTTACCTAAAAAAATATGACTGGCTAATTTTGAGAGTTTTTACAGTCTTTAGTATTTGATACCTGAATAATTAGTGTTTTTCTTAAATACTATTTTTATCACCTGTCTCTTTTGCTAAAAAGTAATTATTCTCATCCTCTAATTATTTCTAATTAGATTTTAAACTTTCCCATAATTATTAACATAGTTGTAATCTAGTCAGAAAATTAACTATATGAAAGTGATATTACTACTTAAATGGGTAAATCAGTTTTCTTGCTTTTTTATTCATTCTCAGAAGATGGCTTGGAGCATCTACGAAAATCTCTAGAATGATATGCCATATATAATTAATGCAGAGTAATAATAATGGTACCCTGCCATTTTATAGTTTGCTGAGCTTTTAAATACATACCTTCTCAATTATAATTTTAATACCACGCTCATTAAGTATATATTTAATATCCCTACATTATATATGAGGAAATTAATGCTTAAAACGACTTTAAGTAACAGGAGTAATGTGACCAAGTCGTGAATTGGGACTTTAACCCAAGTCTTCTGTTTGCAAACCCAGCCTTGCTTTCTTTGACCACGGTGACCTGGTTATTGGCAGCCCTTTTTCTAACGGATCATAGAATTCAGGTTGATTTATGATTCTGTGAATACACATCTGTTTTACTTGGTATGAGTACAAAAAGCTAATGTGTTTGTTTATTCATATATTTATTTTTATTCATTAAAAATAAGCATATCTCTTTCGTCCACATTAATTAAAGAGAGGCGTATTTTCTATTGAAAACATGAAGTAAATAGTTACAGGATTGTAAAATGTTATGTCAGAAATGCAAGTAATATTAACTTTAAATGGAAATGCTAATGTTCTTTTTTTTAATTAAGCATTTTATTTTATTTTATTTTTACATATAGTTTATTGTCAAATTGGTTTCCACATAACACCCAGTGCTCATCCCTACGAGTGCCCTCCTCCATGCCCATTCCCCCCCCTCCCCCCACACCCATCAGTCCTCAGTTTGTTTCTCAGCATACAAGAGTCTCTCATGGTTTGCCTCTCTCCCTCTCCCCCACCATTTCCCCCCTTCTTCTCCCCCTCGTTCCTCAGTTAAGTTCCTCCTAATCCTCCTACACGTGCAAACATATGATATTTGTCCTTCTCCGCCTGACTTATTTCGTTCAGCATAACACCCTCAAGGTCCATCCATGTTGCTACACGTGGCCAGATTTCATTGTTTCTCATTGCCATGTAGTATTCCATGGTATAGATAAACCACATCTTCTTGATCCATTCGTCTATTGATGGGCACTTAGGCTCTTTCCATGTTTTAGCTATTGTGGAGAGTGCTGCTCTGAACATTGGGGTACATGTGCTCCTATGCCTCAGCATTTCTGTATCCCTTGGGTAAATTCCTAGCAGTGCTATTGCTGGGTCATAGGGGAGTTCTAGTGTTAGTTTCCTGAGGAACCTCCACACTGTTTTCCAGAGGGGCTGCACCAGTTTACATTCCCACCAACAGTGTAGGAGGGTGCC